TTGGCGGCAGAAATCGAGCAGGGTGTGTCGTCATAATTTAAATGGAATAGCGGCATTTAAATGCTTCATTCTTTTACATTTCTCGTTTGGCTTACTAAAGGATAATAAATGAGGTATACAATATATGCAATAAATATTTGTTTTATTGGGACATACTTACATACACATACAAAACATACAAAATATACACATACAATCTAAAAAACGCATAAAACTAATTCATATGTACAGACGCATATTACTTTAAAAATAAAAAAACATTAATAAATACTTAATAAATTTACATAATACTTAATAATACTTATAATACTATAATAATATTATAATATATAATTAAATAGAAAATTTTAATGAGCAGTTTTGCTACTAGGGCACTAGGCTATTGCGTTATTACATTTGTGACACGCACGTTCCTGAGACTAGTGACGCGCTCCTTAGTTACGGCCGTTCGGCGCTGCGTTGCTAAGGAGCGAGCAGTAAGAGAGGGAACCGTAGGCGTGAGTCAAGAAATCCGGCCGAAAGTTGCATCTAAATCCCAGCACTGTAATACTATAATAATACTTATAATAATACTTAATAATAATAACCCTGTAAACACTAAGTAACAATAACACAACATCAATATTATAATTTCCCACTCAACAATATAACTGCAATGTTACATATCTTATACCTAACAATTATATTTTTGAGTGGGAAATTATAATATTGATGTTATGTTACTGTTACTTTTATTGGGATACTATGTATACTATTATATATACAGGGTGTCTTAGACCACCCGTACACCCTTTTTCTTTCAAAAACTAATGTAACGATACCGTTACTAGCCTCGCGGGCCGACCAGCCGCCCGCAATTTTGAGGCTCGGGGCCCCCGGCGCCCCCAAGCTCCCACACCCGTGTCACGGCCCCACCGTGGGGCCGCCCCACCGCGCACCGATTCGCGTGAGTGGGAGGCCGGCCGCCGGTATTTCTCCCGAATCCTGGCACCGGCGAGCCTTGATCCGCGGCGTACGGGAAAGGTGAACCGTTACACTAAGCATTCTAGAAAAAAATATTTCAGACAAAAGTTGTATGGTTTCGAGGGGGACATAAGATGGTGTCAATAATTAGACCTTGAATAGTTGCTTGAAGGTCACGTGAAGGTCACCTTCAATTTTTTAAGTGGAACTGCCTACTTTTTATTGCACATTCTTGTAGCTTATCTCGAAAGCTTTTCAAAACACTATAATAAAGTATTTTTTCATTAAGTACTTTTTGAGTTATTTTATATTTTAATCTGACATATTTTGATATAAAAAATAAAATATCTCGTAAATTATTTAGTTTTCGATAATCTTACCGTAATACTTTTATGTTCAGAATAATGGGACAAATCAATGTAAAGAGAAAAACAAATAATTGTTTAAAAAAATACATTGTAAATGATTACATACTTTTTCTTGAAAACAATTATTTTTTTTATACTAATTGATTTGTTCCATTATTTTGAACATAAAAGTATTACGGTAAGATTATCGAAAACTAAATATTTTACGAGATATTTTAATTTTTATATCAAAATATGTCAGATTAAAATATAAAATAACTCAAAAAGTACTTAATGAAAAAATACTTTATTATAGCGTTTTGAAGAGCTCTCGACATAAGCTACAAGAATATGCAATAAACAGTAGGCAGTTCCATTTAAAAAATTGAAGGTGATTTTCACGTGACCTTCAAGCAACTATTCAAGATTAAATTAATGACACCACCTTATGTCCTCCTCGAAACCATACAACTTTTGTCTGAAACATTTTTTTCTAAAATGCATTGTTTACGAGATATTTGACCGTTTGATATATAATACAATTTTAATGTTAGATATATGCTGAAAAATAAAGAGATCGTACCATAAATTGAAATAATAAAGCGGGTATTGTATAACGGTCGTTGATTTTCTTTGCGACCCCATCAAGTGAATGACGGCGTTACTGAGTCCTTTAATCCTTCTTTCACGCACAGATTTACTGCTTCCTTTAAATTGAATCCGCCGATGTATTTGAAATAATCCACCTAGGCAAAGTATTGAAAAATAATGTTAATACATATTTTGTACAGACGACAGAAAGTTTTTATATTTGTTTACTTACAACTTCACGATAATCATTATCATTGATAGTCTCAAAAGCATCCATCTCGGCCACGGATGATATGGGCAAACAGGCTGGCTTACGTGGTACGCGATTGCGGTCATTGTTGCTTTGCACACATCTCAGGAGGTTGTGCTGCAAACCATTCATTCTTCTATAAATAAAATATAAAAGCATCTATATTACAGAGATCATGTGTTAATAGATATATTTGATTTACTTATTTGAGCTCGGCATCAATGCTGCTCAATTTTTTCTGCGTTATCCTGTAAACATTGTACGTTTATGAGTTACGTTTACATTCATGCAAATATTTTTATTTAGAAATCACTATTTCTATAAATATGTACAAATTTACCGATTGTAGTCCGTTTCTTCTGTAGACCGTGGGATTTCAACGCGAGCCACCTGATACTCGTTTACCTGAGTATTTTCCTGTGCCGGCCATGTTTTTAAATGATTCTGAAACTGATATGTATTATTTGTATGATGATTGGCCAAATTAGAAGAATGTGTGGGCAATGTATGTATCAAGTATGATGTATCGGCGTGAATAGATGTATGTGGATGTGATGTGTGTGGATGTGGTGTTAAAGAAGTTACAGTGGATGAATAAGGTTCAATGTTTGTGGATGTGTGTGGATATGATGTTAAAGATGTTACAGTGGATGAATAAGGTTCAATGTTTGTGGATGTCTGTGGATGTGATGTTAAAGATGTTACAGTGGATGAATAAGATTCGATGTTTGTGGATGTGTGTACATATGTTAAAGGTGTTATAGTGGATGTACAAGCTGGAATATTTGTTTGTGGTTGCGTATGGGTAGGAATATGTGATTGTGTGTCTGTGTGCTCTTGTATGTAAATATTAGTATTAAAAGTATTCTCATCCAAATCCTCGGTAGAATTATCTAAATTGTCCAAAATTCTTCTCAAATGACCAATATCCTTGTTGATATCTCCAGTCGTGATGTTCTTTGAAGGAATCTTTTTCCGTTTCGGTGATTCATCGGAGGAAGTGGTCTGATAGCGGGAAGGTTTCGCAACGGTGCGCTTCGGTCGGCTGTCCATGTGCTTGTAAAAAAATTATAGATATATTGTTTTGTGCTCTCAATTGAGGACCGGTGCAATGCACTTATTAATTGTATGGTGGATGTGTTTTTCTAAATTATTACACACTATTAAGAATAGAACACTTTATTACTTTTTCTTGCGAGCCATTCACTCTTACACGTCGCAAGCAACTACTATACTGCCACCTATCTAACCCTTTTTACGAAACTGTTATTCCCTAGTTACGCCCAGGAATTGCGCGCCAAGCTCGAATCATGTGACTTAAAAAATCAAAGCAAAATAAACAGAATACCATAAATTCAGAAACATACCGCGCGCCTTGATAACCCTTGGTTGTCAATTTCGCACATTTTCTCGACTAACAAAGCAAGTTAAACATAACAAAGATCTGCGCATTTGGCGCAGCAAACAAAAATAAAAACATAAATAATCACGTGCTACTTAACGCGACGAACAGCAAATGTGCGCGAGCTTATAAATAAAAAACAAAAAATTGAATAATGCGATTAAACTTTGGCATTGTTTGGAGAAGCCTCGAGGGGCAGAATACATAATTTCACTGCCGGTCTCTTGAAAACTCCGATAGCTGTTTTGATAACAGCTGCTCTGACAATTTTGTCGCTTCTCAGACAGAGCTCTTGAACCCGTCCGAGCATCCATTTTAAAGGTGGCAATCCATCCTCTCGGCAGACAACCAATTGTCCTATTTGAAGCTGCACACCTTGGTTCGTCTGCCATTTAGTTCGTCTTTGAAGCTGCAACAAATACTCCGAAGACCAACGTTTCCAAAAATGTTATCGAATTTGCTCCAAGCGTTGCCACCTCGACAGCTGATTGATCTTGAGATGAGTGATTTCAGGCTCGGGATACAAGGTTATCGTGCTGCCAATCAGAAAATGGCCTGCAGATAGATAGTTTACTTCGTTCGGTTCCGATGACATTGCGGTCAAAGGTCTCGAATTTAGAATCGATTCGATCTGCGTGACGAGCGTTGATGCTTCCTCGAAAGTTAACGCTGCGTCGGAGGCAATCTTGTAAAAATGCCGCTTAAAAGACTTAACGGCAGCCTCCCATAACCCGCCAAAGTGGGGAGCTCGTGGCGGTATAAAATGCCATCGGAGTCGATCTGATGATGTCTTGTCGATGATCTTGCTCTTATGCTCTTCTTGAGAGAGAAGGTTTCTCAGCTCGTCCAATTTACGATGGGCTCCGACAAAATTCGTTCCATTGTCGGAGAATACATCAGCTGGCTTTCCTCGACGACTGATAAATCGTTTGAATGCGTTCAGAAATGTGTCGGTTGTCATATCCGATACAACTTCCAAATGCACAGCTTTCGTCGCCATGCAAACAAAAACGGCAACGTATGCTTCCACGCGCTTGCTGTTTCTTCTTTTAGCATCCCGTATGTGAATAGGCCCGCAAAAGTCGACTCCGGTATTGTTGAAGGGTCTTGATGGAATCACTCGATGAGCCGGGAGATTTCCCATAAGCTGCTCCGAAATGCGAGGTTTCGATTTGAAACAGATGACGCACTTGCGAAACAGCTGTTTGACGATACCGCGCCTCCTGATCGGCCAATACATCTGTCGAACTGCAGCTAGAGTTGCATCAGGTCCAGTATGCAGATTTCTACGATGTTCGTGCTCTATGATGAGTTTAGTAAGACGCGAACGATGAGGCAATATCACAGGATGTTTTGTATCATGAGGAAGTTCTGAATGCTGTAATCTGCCGCCAACTCGTAACAAGCTATCCTCGTCAATAAACGGATTCATGTCCTTCAAATTGCTTCATTTTGAAATATCATCTCCCTTTTCCAGAGCCATAAATTCTTCGAAAAACACTGATTGTTGCTCCCTTTTTATAAGCCGTTTTCTCGCATACTCTAATTCATCGACTGACAATGGACCAGTGAGCGTTTGTTTAGACTCCTTTTTGCAGATTCGCGCAAATCGTATACACGTTGCGGCCACTCTGACGAGCTTGTTGAGCGTTGAGAATTTGTCGAATGGATCGATATGCTTTTGCGTAGGCATTGCGATCACCGTTGATCCGACTGATTCGTAAAGTTGAATCTCGTCAATCTCTGGTAATTCCGGGCAACACTCGATGACGTCGCCGTTCTGCAGCCATTGAGGCCCGTTCCACCACAGCTGAGACATCTTTAGCTCGTTCGGAGTCACACCTCGAGACACCAAATCGGCAGGATTCTCTTTAGTTCCCACATGATTCCACTCGTCCATCGATGTTAATTCCTGAATTTCGCCGATGCGATGAGCCACGAAGACTGGTAATTTTTTGTTAGTCGCCTTGATCCAATGGAGGACGATCGATGAGTCTGTCCAATAGTACGTCTTGGTTATCGCCAGCTCCAGTGCTTTCTTTACTTTGGTCATCAGCTGGGCTAGCAGCTGAGCACCGCACAACTCCAATCTTGGAATAGATATTGCCTTCAAAGGGGCGACACGCGATTTTGAGCACAATAACTGCACCTGAATTAATTCGCGAGACTTGCTGCTACGTATATAAACGCAGGCTCCGTAGGCCCGTTCGCTAGCGTCGCAATAACCATGAAGTTCCAGGCGCACATCTGCGCCAGTAGCGATGATTTTTCGTTGTATGTTGAAACCATTCAGGGTTTGAATTTTCATGACATAATCCGACCACTCAGTATGTATATCTGAGGGAAGAGATTCGTCCCAGCTGATTTAAAGCCTCCAAAGTTTTTGAATTAAAATTTTCGCGACTACTATCACGGGTCCCAATAGACCCAGCGGGTCAAATATTTGGGCAATGCCGGATAGAATCGATCTTTTCGTGTGAGAATTCGATCCTTTCAGCTCCATCGAGATTGCGTACTGCAATACGTCTTTTGAAGGATTCCATTTGATTCCTAGAGTCTTAGAAGTCCCATCCTTGTCTAGCTCAAGAAGAGCATTCGTGGTGGACGATTCTCCTATGCCTTTCAGCAACTCTTGGCTATTTGAAGCCCATTGTCGTAGCAAAAATCCCCCCTTTTTTAGTAATGCTGCGGCTTGATCACGAATCATCAGCGCGTCTTCCTTTGAATTTGCACCTGTGATTAAATCATCGACGTAAAAGTCCCTTCGTGCTATCGAAGCTCCGATCGGGAACTCATTTTCCTCCAAATCGGCCAGCTGTTGTATGACCTTGATTGCTAAAAACGAAGCTGATGCTGTTCCATACGTCAATGTGATCAATTCGTATGTTTTGATGTCGTCCGTTACTTGATTACGCCAGAGGATTCGTTGCAGTGGTATTTGAGCCTCGTTCACAAGCACCTGCCTATACATCTTAGCGATGTCGGCGGTCAAGGCGTATTCGAAAGTTCGAAATCGCAGCAGTATTGAGAATAGATCCTGTTGAAGAACAGGCCCAACCATCAAAGCGTCGTTGAGTGAAATGCCGCTTGTTGTCTTACTCGATGCGTCGAACACGACTCTTAACTTCGTTGTAGCACTTGTTTCCTTTATCACACAATGATGTGGAAGATAAAAATGTGGTCGCACGTTCCATGATGGATGGTGTCCACGAAGTTCTCTCATATGTTGCAACTTTGCATACTCATGTATGAAATCGTTGTATTCTTTCTTGAGTCGAGGTTTTCGCTCTAATTTGCGTTCCAACATCTTGAACCGTTACAGAGCTATGTCTCTCGAGTCTCCCAGTTCTTGGAGCTGCTCGTGTCTTGTTGGAAGAGTTACGATGAATCTACCCTCCAAATCGCGCTTGTATGTCTGTGCAAAATGCTCTTCGCAAAAACGTTCCTCCGGGGTCCGAGTGTTTTGACGTTCGTTATGCTCGATTTGCCAAAATCGCGAGAGACTTGCGTTAAGTTCATCATTGATTGCCAGATGGCAACACGTGTCCTTTCTTGACCGATCACGCATCATGAATCTTCCGGAAACAATCCAGCCGAGTACCGTTTTCTGCCATATAGGCTGATCCTCTGCAAGCTTAATTTTTCCGATGCATAATAACTCGAAGAATACCTCCGCTCCTATTAGTAGATCTACGGCTGACGGCTGATTAAATTCAGGATCTGCCAACGTTATACCGTCCGGGATTTGTAACTCATTAAGGTCGAGTTGATTTGCTGGAAGAGCCTGGGTAATTTTTTGAATCACGAGACAGTCTATCTTGGCTTGATATCCGTTTATCCTCGATTATATCGTTAATTTCGTCACTCTACGAGTCTGCGTCGATAATTCTCCCAGGCCAGAGATTTGAATATTTGTAGGAATTTGCTTGAGTCCGAGTCTTTGTACGCAATTAGTCGTCACGAAACAAGATTGCGATCCACAGTCAAAAAGAGCTCGGTACTGTGTAGCCTTACTTCTGAAGTCCAAGACATTGACGATCGCCGTCGCGAGAAGTACCTGTCTTTCTTGCCGAACCGATGCAAGATTCACGCTCGATGCCGGTGACCTTTCACCACTAGTGTCCATGATGCTCGCTGATGCAATCTCGGCTTGATTTTTTGAATTTTGCTCCAAATGGAGCAACGTATTATGACGTTTACCGCATTTGCGGCACGCTCCCGACCCGCACTGTCTCGCCTGATGAGACGCAGCTTTCAAACAATTTAGGCACAGTTTACGCGATCTCGCTTCCTTTATTCGATGATCCACTTCAAGTTTCGTGAAATTGTTGCACTTGTATATCGGATGATCTTCTTTACCACAGAATGCGCACATCACGTTTGTCGTAGCTACGTGAGCCGTTGTGCTCTTACTGTGCTCCCATTTACCTTGATGCGGAGTACTTGTTGCGGACCTTTGTGAACGCGAGGATGCTTCCAACGCCCGACAACGCTGAGCTAGAAATTCTGTTAATTGATCAAATTTCGGTATATCACCCTTTTTGATCGAGGTTTTCCACTCTTTACTGGTCGTTTGATCTAGCCGACTAGTGACCAGATACATCAGGAGGTCATCCCATTGATCGGTAGGTTGTTTCATCGCTTTCAACGCTCGTACATGCTTTAACACGGTATCCAGCATACGACGTAAAGCCACGTGGTTTTCCTTGTGAAGAACGGGCTGCTCAAATAAAACTCTAATGTGCTTTTGAATTATCAAATTATCGTCGTCATACCTTTCTTTCAGCATCTTCCAAGCTTCGGAATAATTATCGTCGGAAGTTTCGAGCGAGCTGACCACATCGTGTGCTTCGCCTCTCAACACTGATAGAAGATACTGCATTTTCTGAGTACTAGGAAGTGTGGGATTTTGATGAATCATGCTCAGAAAAATATTTCGAAACGGATTCCACTCTTCATATTTTCCGGAAAACGTTGGCATAGTGACGCGAGGTAATTTTAAGTGATCATTTGCAACGTTATTACTCAGCATACTTGGCGTTCCGTCTCTTGATTGTTGAGAATCTGACCCGTGTTGCGCAAGGTTGCCCCGCATCTCCTGTTCCTTCCTCTCGATCAGCGTTTCCAGATCGACTGTTATTTCAAAATATCTCGCTTCAAATAACTCTCTTTCATTTTGGTGAATTTGCTCGAACTCATCAGCACTCTCGATTGCTTCGATACCTGACTGAGCCTCGTTAAAATTGTCCCAAAGACCGATGAATCTTTGTAACCGTTGACGTAATTCGACAATTGTTGTTACCGGTACGTTTAATGCAGTCAAATACGTACGGAATCTCGTGCATGTTTTTTTGATCGTAGTGCGATTTGATTTCAGCGTTTTGAGAAGTGCCGCTTGTTCGGCCATGTTGGCTTGCCCTTTTTTTTTATCGTCGATTTCGTAACGACTGTTTTTCGCGATAGCCGCCCGACACTCGTATATATCGCGTTCGCGTATGTCGAAAGAATGATCGTTACAGTAGTGTGCCGCCACCGTTGTCAGTATCTCTCGTCCTGCGTGTACGTGTCGATAGCCGCGCACTCTCGTCGGTCTTCCCGAAAACCCGAAAATGTCGAACCGTCGCACTACGACAAATTACGACTGCTCGAAACGTGGGAACACTCGCGTTATGATACGTCACGAATGCCAAAATGTCGGACACTCGCGTTATTCTAGACCGCAAATGCTGATTAATACGAGATATTAATGTCCTTTCCTTACAGGTTTGTTTCACGCACGTGCAAAGCCGAAGCGCTCGAGTGCACGGCCCGTTCTCGATTGTTCGATTACAATCCCGGTATTCCACATACACTGCACTTTTTCGGCGTCGCGAATTATATGACGACGTTCGCACGTTAGCTCGTTTTTCGAATGCAAGACGATGCGGCTCGTTGTGATGCTCAATGTTTGTTCACGGTACCCGCATGCAAGAAGACTGCCCGGCCTTCGCACTGTGGCGACGCTAGCGAGACAAATCCTTTTGTATCCCGGATATATCCGGCTCGAAGGACCAATGTTTTGTGCTCTCAATTGAGGACCGGTGCAATGCACTTATTAATTGTATGGTGGATGTGTTTTTCTAAATTATTACACACTGTTAGGAATAGAACACTTTATTACTTTTTCTTACGAGCCATTCACTCTTACACGTCGCAAGCAACTACTATACTGCCACCTATCTTACCCCTTTTTACGAAACTGTTATTCCCTAGTTACGCCCAGAAATTGCGCGCCAAGCTCGAATCATGTGACTTAAAAAATGAAAGAAAAATAAACAGAATACCATAAATTCAGAAACATATATCAATTATAAAACAATATACATAACATAAAACAAAATACATAGTATTTGATTAAAATACAAAAAATTAATAAATGTTAAAATATTAATAATATTAAATAAAATTTAAACTCAGAAACTGTTAAAAATATTCAAATTACACACAACTCTAAGTAAGCTATTAAGAAAATTATCCTGTTGTAAACATCCATATTGTGTGTGTGTAATTAATGGAAATACATAGTATACATTATGTATCTCTCGAAAGCAGCAAAAGAAAACAACGACAAGGACAGAAGATTAATGCGAAAATGATTATGATGATATTGTACTTTTCAAACTAGCAAACATATATTTGGAAAGAGAAGAGAAACAGATTAAGAAAGTAAACAAAAGAATAAAATATCGTAAAGATTCATGCAGAAAAGAGAACCATTATCCTTTAATCCTTTACAAAGGCTTGTCAAAGATTTTCGCAAGGATATATCTTACGCTTTCTCGCTATGTGCAATAACAGCAACAACGTATCGAAGCGAATGATCTTCTTCATCATTGTTATTATCATCCATCGATGTAGAATTCCAGAAAGGCATTCTATAACATTTAGCATAACCTTCATCCAGATTAATATAAAAGATTTCACTGCTCAACGTGGAACATTTATATATTTGAAGAGCCGAAGATAATACACCAATGTCATAAAAATCTTCAACCTGTAAAAATTTTTTGACTGCCAAACAATACAAATTATTTTCTAAAATAATCTTGCAGACGATGCAAGATCCATTATGCAAGATACAGCAATTATCACGTACATCTATACTCAACAATGTTCCGTTAAATTTAATTTTACGATATTGATGATAATTACCATCATTATTATACAATGCGGATACACAAATGGGTGAATCAATGGCACGAGCATCGACTGTTCCGTGAATTTCAATCTCTTTCATTCTTTTGAAAAATTGTTGAAGAGGTAAACCCGGTTTTCTACAATATTTTCTGAAAATGGACATGTTATTTTCATAAGGAAATGCAGAAAACGAATCCAAACTGCCAAAATGTCTTACATCGTCGATAAGATGAAGAAGCCCATGGACATTATAAGTATTGAAGGTTGGACCATAAAGAGTATCACTTCGATGAACAAATTTTTGTAGCGCAAGCTCTGCAAAATTCAGAAATTGTCTTGACGATGAATTGGAAACTAAGATTCTTATTGCCACATGTAAAAATAAAAAGTGCTTGTACAATCTCTCGTCTAATAAACCATATGTTACAACTGGTCCTGTATAAAGCAGAAATTCACGAAATTCTGTCGCTTTATATTTAGAACACATATTGAGAGATCTAGGGCGTCTTGCAAAATCTGACGGACAATATTCTTTAAGATTATTCAGTCTTGCAGACATAATAGAAATGGATCTTTCTGATAATTTTGACAGACGTGAATATTTTCCACATACCCATGCAGACAAAATTTTTTTCATGACGCCCAAACACACCAGATGCATATACTCAAAAGGTGTTTGTGAAACTATTCCTATAGGAAGCAATGATAATGGGCTCTTACCCTCTTTATGATGATCTCCAAAATAGTTTATTTACGATAAATCGCATGCAGTAGTCAAAACCTTCGTAAGTTACTGCAATGTGTTTGGTATTATCTATACAAAGGCCTGTAATATGATTTTTGACGGAAGTCAATTTTTTAATAAACAAAAATGCAAACCTTATAATTTAAAAATAAAAAGTAAGGTTTTTTTATTTTTTGTATAACGCGACTATTTCTTTCTGTCGCAGTCCTTTTTCCTCTCCTTTTCTCTTCTGTTATATCCCACATTTTTTCCTCTCTTTTTCTTTCTCAATAGATTTCAATACTGCCGGGATCATCGTGGACTGTAGAAAGTATTTTATCAAAATCTACACTTGTGTATAACATCTCACTTTTTGGAAAATGCTTATTACTTTGAAACTATCCTATTTCTAAAAAGAGTCAAATAAAAGTTTATAGAAACATTACAAAAATAATCGTAATTTTTTTTTAAAGAATTGAGGTTGCATATATTAGTACTTTCTTTTGTTATTTTGGTGCAATAATTTTTCATTGACATGCAAGGTTTTAGAGCAGTGCTCGGATTTAGTTGCACATTTCGGCCCGATTCCGTGGCTCACACCTATTGCCCCCCACTCACCGCTCGTGCGTTAGCGACGAGTCGCCAGATACGCGTAACTAAGGAGCGCGACGTTTTGTCTCAGGAGCGTCCGTATATAAGAATGCCCAAATATCTATGATTATAAAATTTGGTTTTATTTTTAAATAATAACAAGTTTATATATCATAATATTTTTGGTGCATTCATGTTATAAAAATTCTTTTAAGCTATTTAAACGTATAATTTATCTATTTTATTATTATTCATGCGATTTTCATAAATATAACAATTCAGTCAATTCTACAATCAATTTTAGAAATTGTTTTCTTAATCAATATTTTCTACATAAATTAAAGTTTGTGAAGTATGGTAAAGTATTATATAAAATACAAATATTCAATTAATAAATGTTGCAGGTTACACAAGCATCACATATTGGTGGAAAACACTGTTACGAATTTATGAGACGAAGTTTAAGCCAACTCTTAAGTAATAAAATGGCAGAAAAGTACAGCTGGCTAGGGAAGAAACACAAACAAAAATTTTGTGAACTGAAATTAAGCGAAATGTTAATTGGTAATATATTATCTAAATAATTAATTTTTAAATTAAATGCTTTTATTGTTTTCTTGCTTATATTTCTAGTTTTCTGATTGTCGTCAGTTTTTCAGTTGCTTATTTATTTGCCGAAATCTTTAAAAGTTAAATCGTCTAATCTATAAATTTTGTCAAGTTATTATTATTAAATTCATGTATTATTATACATATAAATATAAGTATAATATTTGTTATATTAAGTTTATTAAGTATTTATTGATGTCTTTTTATTTTTAAACTAATACGCGTATTGTACATACATATACATATAAAATAGTTTTACGCGCGTTTCAGATTGTATATGTATACTTATATGTTTAATGTGTGTATTCTTTTTTTAACTTCATTTATGATTAAAAACCATGCATAACTTATTAAATGTACATATGTCATTTATCCACAACTTTCAGTCATTTTTTTTTTACAGATACAAAATTTTTTCGCATTACAGATATGCGCGGAGATATTAAAAATAAATTTTAGAACTTGTAAATCATAATCTTTTGTAATTTATTCTTTTATAATATCTGTATGTGTAATCTTTGAAATTTGTTACAAAAAATTAAACATTTTTTGTTCTAATAAAACAAGTATATATTACATACATTGTATACCTCATTTATTATCTTTTAGTAAGTGAAACGAGCAATGTAAATGAATAAAGCATTTAAATGCCGCTATTCCATTTAAATTATGATGACAGATTCTGCTCGATTGTTCGAACAGACTTTGCTGACTGGGAAGATTAGTATAGGTAGCGTGCGTCTTTATTTTATTTCTCAAGAGTTAATTCCCGCAACATAACTTTATCATACATGGTTGAATTTGGCACAACATTTGGCTTTAATATAATTCGAAAATTTTTTCAAAATATTTAAAAAAAAAATTATGAGTGGTGGGGGTATTTTGAAAAATTTTACCATTTTTGAAAAATCCAGATATGCCATTGTGAAGTACATTTGAAACCATAAAACTTTTGTTGTTAAAACTGCATAAAAGGTAACACACCTCCGATTTAATCGCTACTTAAATATGTTGTAGGGGAGGTTTTTCTGAGTAATTCCCCGCAAGAAATAAGTGGGGGACGGCATTGGTTTAGGAGATATAACAAATTGAAGTTTCACAATGTTAATGCTTTTTCTCAGATATTATAAAATAATATTAGAAAAAGTGAAGTTTGTGTACATTGTATTTGTTTTAGAACAAACGAAAAAGTGTTTGTTTACATTTACGGGATAGGTACATAGTCATGAATATTTTGTCAATAATGTATTTCACCTATTTCTCGCAGTTCGTTAACAGCTTTCAATATGCGACTACATGAATTTCTG